TCAAATTAAAATTTTCATCAACAATTTCTTTTTTCTTTTATATTTAAATTTGATGAAATTGTTAGAAGATAAAAGATTTCAAATTATATTTTTTTTTCACCAAATTTAGTTAAAAGAAATTTTTGAAATAGGTAAAAGATTTGATGAAAATTTTGATTTTTACTATTGACGTGAGCTATATCAAATCAACCTTTTGATCTCGCAATAAGGAGAGAAAAGACTCTCCATATAGGTGCCCCCAACTTTAAGCATAGTTAGAATGTCACAAACCACCATGTCCCTTCTTGTTCCTTCTCTCGGATTGTCTACAACCAGTTTCTTTTCATCTATTGCCAACAAGAAATCAGTAAGGAGAGACAAGACTCTCCACATAGGTGCCCTCAACTTTAAACATAGTTGCAAAGCCGCAAACCACCATGTCCCTCGTTGTTCCTTCTCTCGAATTGTCTACAACCAGTTTCTTTTCATCCATTGCCAACAAGAATTCACCATCTTTCAATAAACAAACCAATTCAAAACTACACATGTTAGAACATCCGCATCAGCCTTAGCAAATTTGAGCCAAATTATAATCCAAAATTCACTTTTGTATTTTAGCTAGCCTCTTTTTTATGTACACACTCCATCAAACTCTCTATTCTAAAATTCTATTTCAATAAAATATTATTTTTTATTCTTTTATCTTTTTCAATTTTTTTAGCCATATTGTATTTGGATGATTATTTGATTATGTTTTGATTTTGTTCTTGATGAATTAAATTGATTAATATATTATGTTTTATTAATATCAATTTAATATCTCTCTTTGGAGGCTCAAATGATGTTAAACAGATATATTTCAAGACCAAAACAGACCCAAAATAGTAGCAAAACAGCTCCAAAACTACAAGAAAAAAGTTGGCAAGCTGCAGAGGCCTTTGGGTGGCCGTACAGTTCATTTGGCCGGCTGGACAGATTTTTGGCTGAGCAAAGAAAGGAAATTTGGCCGTGGTGGTCATTCGGCCGAACATTCGGGAGGACAACCTGTCACGACTCGCTCCCCGTACCCAAGGGTTAGGTATCGTAATGGCCAATAACTGAAGTTACTTACGGCCAATTCTTGAACAAATAAATAAACGCGAGTGAAAATAATATTTAAGTGAGGGCACCAAAATAATCATCGGGACTTCTACTTTTATAATAAAATTTATTGACCAAAAAGGCCAATATTTACATATGAAGAATAGAATTATAAATACTATAAAAGTGCTATGCGTGTCTATTCTGCAGCCTCGCGTTTAAGACTCTTCAAAAACTATTTCTGAATTACATTGTTTTCTGAAAATTAGTAAACAACTATACGCACATGGCAAGGTGAGAAATATTATACTGAGAGTATAAGGGCATAAAATTCACTATGGATAATTATTGACTAAACAAAGCTTGATATTAAAATACAAAGTATATAATACGAAAATCATTTGACATATAATACAGAAATCCTATAAACAAAATAATCATAACCATGGTACAAAACAGTATAGAATAGATGCATGGACTCAAGAGGTGGCTCGTACGAACTCTAGAGGTGGCTCCCACAATAGTGTAGCATTTAGTTCTGTACAGCACTTTGCTTCACACCAGAAATCAGAGGGTCAGTAGATCCATGACAGACAGAGGGTCATAAAGTGACTAATTAAAGGGCTAATAGTTATTTAAGTCCCCAAGGCATGGGACCTCCGTAGTGGTATTTATAAAAATAAACGTTTATATATTCATTGTCAAATAAATTTCAAAAGTTAGACAAACATATTTATGGGTTTAATTTTAAACAAACATGGCTTATAAAATTAATACCTTGATTATAAATAAAATAAAACATGATTTGTGTAAGATAATTCATAAAAATAATAAAATAATTTATGACTACTCAAAATATAATATAACTCACCTAAATATTAATTCTAGCCTCTTATGTTCTACTGTCAAAGACCTTCATTTCTCTAGCATATCTCTCCTTTTGTTTGTTTTATTGATCTAAGCAAATCTCTCCCTACTTATAGGAATCTCTCCCTACTTATAGGAGGCAACCTGGTGGCATCTCTTACACATGGCACCTAAAGCCTTATCCCTTAATTCATTTTTTTATTTTTTTATTTTATAAACTTTTGGTGTAATGTTACCTTGGCCTAGTTATATATATCATTTTTGATAATATACACTCCCTAATTATTTTTTTATCACATACAATCATAGTATTTAATATTTTAATTTACTCTTACAGAATATTTTAATATTTACTCCAGTTTAGTTCTATTTCGCTCTGGATGTCAAACCAACAGTACACTCGACAACTGCGACAGTGTCTCGCGGGAAAGAAAATACAATAAAAAATAGATTAACCAATGAACAGTCGCTTAATAAGGTGAGGCACTATAGCAAAGTCAAAGGTAATGATTGTTATAGAGAGTCTAATGGAGTAAGTATTTGCAGTTTTTACTAGAGGTGCAACATGAGCGAGCTCAATCCGAGCAACTCGAACTCAACCCGATTTTTTTTAGGGCTTGGACAAGATATTTTCAAATTCAGTACGGGTTTGGGCAAAAATTCAGAAGCTCGAATTAAATTTGGGCGGGCTTGGGCAAAGACGTCAAATAACCCGAGCAACCTGAAGCCCAAATTATACATATATAGATATATAAAAATATTATATATATATATATATAAATTATTAACCATTACATAATATTAAAGTAATTTAGATGGTTAAATCATATTGAATATATATTATATATACAAATAACATAAAATTTTACTTTTTTTATTTTCACTCATAAATTGTAATTACTACTATATAAATTATTTGTTTCAATGGTATTAATGGTTTTCTATAAATAAATAAAAAAATGTAAATAGAGTCAAATTTTAATAATTTAATAATGTAGCAAAAAAAAAATTGAAATTCATTTACAATTCGAGCAATTCGGACAACTCGGACAATTTGGGTTTAACTCGGGCCGGACTTGGACAGTCAACCTCGGGTTACAATTCGGGCCTGAGCAAGTCTCAGCACAACTTAGACTAAGCTTGAATAACCCCCTAATCCGACCGAACCTGTCTGAATTACACCCCTAATTTTTACTCCCTACAATAGATTCAAAACTATTGTAAAGAGCTTAATGTGAATGCTCTTAGGTATATAAATTTAGTACAAGACTCCCTCGCCCGTACTCCATCATTCAAAAATTAATTTCTATATTATTCTGAACAACAAAAACACAGACACCCTCCAAGAACCATCACACTACACGTAAAAATTTCATAATCAACAGGAGGAGATGACACTTGCCGGAAACTCTCATTCGCCAAATCGAAAGCGAGAATCACAGAAAAACAATCCGATCCCCTATTAGCTATCCAATGGAGAGACCCATTTAGATAAACCCCACATGGACCACCAGCAATATGAACATAATAGGAAGATTGAATACTTGTCCAAGAATTAGTTTTCAACGAATCATAGTATGTGATTGAAAAAAAAATACTTGCTATTAAAGCAACAAGAATAGACACTGACACAAGTGTTAATAGTTCTTTCATAGAAAGAAAGAAAGCATCACATCATAACCTTGTATTCATTTGTCAATGAATCGTACCCAAGTCCGTAGAGATGGCAAGGACAGAGTAAACACATAGTCACTGCTGAGTTTCTTTCTCTTTTGGGGGCCTCTTGGTTGTGTTTTGTTTTCCCAAGTAAAAATGGCAAATCATTTATTGAAAATAAATAGGTTATTTAAGCTAATATCTTTCAAATTATTAAAAAATATCACTTTAATTTTTAAATTATAAAAACGTATAAATGTATTGTCTAAATTATTGAAAAAGTGTATAAATAGAACCTCTAAATTATAAAAATATACAAATTAGATCCCTAACAAAAAGAATAAAAGTAAAATACGCTAATAGTTTATGGGTTCCATTTCTATGTTTTTATAATCTAAGGGCTAAAGTAATACTTTTCAATAGTTTAGAGAACTATTTGTACGTTTTTATAGTTTAAGGATCAAAACAATACTTTTCAATACTTTAGGGAACTATTTGTACGCAATACTTTTCGATAGTTTAGGGAACTATTTGCACGCAATACTTTCGATAGTTTAGGGAACTATTTGTATGCTTTTATAATTTAAGGGGATAAAAAAATACTTTTTAATAGTTTAGATGGTCTTCATGTAAGTAACCTAGAATAAATCAAAAGATTAATATTTAGATCGACAAAATTAAAAATTTATTTTGTTAGCAGAGTCGAACCCGAGTTATTTTTGTAACTATTAAAAATATGAAAAATTTTAAACAAAAACATGTGTCTTTAGACTAATTTTCTTTCAATTTTAGTATAAAAAAAAAACTCATACGTTTTAGTCAATTTCTTTTAGCTTTTAGATACAAAATTTGTGATTAATTTGATTAAAACTTATTTGCTATTGTCTCCAAAAATAATAAAAAATCCCAACTTCAACATATATATATATATATTTAAATTTAAATAATTCATCACTCGACTTCAATTCATTTAATACAGTTATGCTCTCAGGCGTGAGGCCCACGTATTTGCTTCTGAATGTCTTTATAAACCTGATATATAGACCAAAAAAGAGACAAATAAAGATAGCCAGAGTAGAAATGTTAGTTACATTACATCACTGCAACGATAGATGAAATGCTATTCCAATGCTTTCCTGTGGCCACGGAGGCCAACTAAAATGAGGAATGACTTTTCAAACTCTTTTAACCCTATACATATACCCCTACTTATACCCCTGCTTCTTTCTTCTCCTTGATAGATCAATTGAACAACTTCACAGATTTACAAAAAAAATTCCAAAACAACAGCATGATCGCATAGTCTTCGTTTGTTCGACTGACCAACCGACTTGAATCGATTGGACTTTGTTCTGGGTGTGTAAGTATCAATAAAAATATGAGAGAATAATGGGGATGGACATATGGCCATTCACATATTAAGTGTTTGACACTGCAGTGGCCCCTATAAGACCAATAAGGCACAGCAAGGAAAGAATATCTGTGCCCGATGAGAAGTAAATTTTGTGAGCATTGCCGTCACCTCGAAAACCTCTAACGATCATTGCCTGCAAAAGAAAATCTGAATAATTACTCTTCAATCAGTTTTGACAAATTTTACATAAACAATGAACACCAGAACGCATATGGGTAAGTCGTGAAATTAATCACCAGAGATATTCAAAACTAACACGAATCCACAAAGGTATTATATAGTATAGGTTGAGTTCACTATTACTGGTCAACAATTCATGATTCATTCATGTACATCACTTCTTCTCCCTTCCCTTTCTTTTTATTTTTCTTCTTCTTATTTTATTTTTATTTTTTATTTTTGTTGGAAGAGTTCAAAATATCCATTTAAAATAAAGCCCTAGGGCTAATGGATTTTCACCTTTAAGAGGGCAAAAAGAAGTTGCAAAATTCTCGTCCACCATTAAACAGAGAAACTGTAGAAGTTGAGGACACATTGGCTAAGAAGAGAAAAGAAAAGACAAATTCAGGAAAATATGTCAAACCTGAGATATCTGCTCCGCATGGTTAAAAATATTTTTGAAGATTTGACGAATGTATGCAAAGAAAACTGCAAAAGCCACAACAACAGTCTCAAAATAGAAAAGATCTCCAAGATTAAGCAAATGATACAAGTATCATTGTATTGTACACCCATATTCAACGAGTCAACAAGATACAGGCCATCCTAACTGAAAGTGTACTACGAAAATAAAAAAATTTAGATGGTATAAAGGGTCACCACATTCAGTGGCTTGGACACTTTCAATTCAATACAGCATAAATCTCTGAAATTCAAAACAAGTCTGACCATAAAACTTTCCTTAATTTGAAGAAAAAATATACTTAACGTAATTTAATCTAGCGTCGCACATTTCTTCGAGAAAGGTCCACAATATATAACAAGGACTCATTTACTAGAATTTTTAATCGTAATCAGATTTAAAGAAGTGAGAATTCCATGCAATACATATGATGCGGAAAGGTAGGATACAACAACAAATGTGAACCGTACAATTCAATAAATGTTTGTCTCATTTGAAGCCTATCAATTGTCTTAGACAGCACAAGAAAATATATAACACACTCGAGTTGTATACTTACTATCAATAGTCTCCGTAACAATCAACAGTTTCCAATCTATCCTACGAGATACAATCCCCAATGCAAGATTTCGAACCTGACAACATATCATGCAGTCATTCCAAGAATGTAAGAATTCATAACAATGTTTTTTAATAGAATATCCTAAATAATATATAATGTGGAAGAAAACATCAGTGAAAAATTTAATACTTCAATGAAAGAAAAAACAATTTGAACCTATCTCACCTCATCAAAGACCAGATTGATGAACCTCAATGAAGGTAGGAGAGTAAGAATAACTTCGGCTACTGGAACACCGAAATTTATCAAGGGAAGCATAAACCATTGCAAAGCCCATGCAAGCTGCTCAGGGGCTGTGGTGGTTAGGCAGAGGTGTAAGAATATCCATAAAGTGACTCATATGTCACATGTTTGTTTTATTTATTTATTTATTTATATTATATATATTTATTATATATATTTAATTAGTTTAATGACTAATTAATTGGTTTAATCACTAATGGGTAACTCAGGTCTGTTCACTATCCCATATGGTAGTTTCATGGGACTTTACAGCTTCCCTGATGGTGAGAAGTTATAAGGAGTTACACTTGGATATGAGTCCAAGCCTATCTATATATATGCTCCAAGCCTATCTATGTATATGCCTGTGATAGCCATCAAACACAAACGTTGTTTTGTGAATAGAATAGGCTTGAAACTCTGTCCCTTTCACTTTTCCCATATGGTTCTGTAAAAGTGTTCTGTGAGTAGGCTTTTTACACATTCAAGGTTTGATCATTCAAGGATAAAGATTTAAAGGCTTGAACAACATGGCAGGAGGTATTCTTCTTTCTTAATTAAAATTATTTTAATTCTCACAATTGGTATCAGAGCCAACCTTCTGTTATGTTGTTTAGTATTTGTTTCATCTACATAAAATCAAACTTCCGCATCTTACAGTGTAGAACGTTTTATTCAACAATTTACTGAATATTTTGATGCGTACAGTAGTATACTGAATCTAATTCACACCATAAAATTTAACAATTCAGACTCATTGTAGAATCAGAATGAGTAATTTATATTGCATAACTTTTGAATATCACTATTAAAGAAAAAGGAAGCACTGTTGCAATAGTAGAGTCCGTTGTGATTTGTGCTAGTGGTATTTACATTTATTTAGAATTTTCTCCTACTCTGAATCTATTTTATTTAGACGCCTTGCTGTGTGTCATTAACTATTATTTTTGACACACACCTTAAAGAGCAAAATATTTAATCTGATTTTGTATAAATTCTAGAAATTCTCATACTTTTATTTGGATTTATTTGGTTTATTTTATAAAACAAAAAGGCATGAAAGACTTGAATTTATTTTTAGAATTTTCATAAAGAAATTTTAACGTGTTGCTAAGGGTGTTTTGTTTATTATCGTTGCATGTTTAAATAGTAAGTAAATTCAATTGAATCTCATACAGTGAATTATAACATGTTCTTTTAATTTTTATAATTTTTGAGATTCATTGGCATGTTATCTAAAATAATGTAATATTATATTACATGCATTAAAGTAATTATTTATGCATTGAAAATTCATGTGAAATAAGAGTATGAATACACTATGTGTTGGGCTTATGGAATTTATTTTGGTCCAATTTTTAAGCAAATTCTAGTATAAGGTTGAATTACATGTGTTTGGTCTTGGGATTTTTCATGTGATATTACTCTGATTGTATGTATTATATATTATGTGCATTGAAAGATTATGTATTTGTTGCGAATATAAGGATTTGCTCACATTAGTAAATTATGCCATATTTAAAAATTTTATTCTGTTTTAAGAGTAGCCATAGCATCTTAAGACATAAAGATGTGATCCTCAGTATTTTGATCACATAAAGTTAAAAATTAATTTGGCATTTTACATTGCAGCTATGTTTTATAAATAATTTCTTGGTCCCACAGGAAAGTAATTATTTATGAAATTTAATTGGAATAAGATAATGGATTGGGTATTAAAGGGATTGAATACTCTAAACCCACATGTATGAGAACCCATTAGTCTTATTATAAAGTACTGGCAATCTAATACAGTTTAGTGACTTCTACCCACATGAAGGTTTAGATTTGTTACTGAATTTGACATTGGTTGATTCAGACTATAGCTATTGTTTCAAAGTATTAATAATGTTCTTGGTAATTGTAGCGATTTCTACCTCTGTACTATCTAATGAGTCTTCTCGTATTCCATTCTTGAACGGTGATAATTTTTCGGATTGGAATGACAAAATCCTTCTAACATTAGGGTGCATGGACCTCGATCTGGCACTCCGTGTGGATGAACCTCCTGAACCCACGGATGAGAGTTCCGCTGCAGAAAAGAGTGCTTATGATAAGTGGGAGCGATCCAATTACTTAAGCCTAATGCTCATAAAGTCACATATTAGCCAGAGCATTAGGGGCTCAGTTCCACCATCTGATAAGGTCAAGAACTACATAAGGGCTATTGAAGAGCAATTTGTTAGTTCTGACAAAGCATTAGCAAGTACTCTAATGAACAAACTATCAGGAATGAAGCATAACAATTCTAGGAGTGTGCATGAGCACATTATGGAAATGAGAGACATTGCAGCTCGTCTTAAGTCCTTAGAGATTGAGATTTCTGAGTCATTCCTTGTCAATTTCATACTCAATTCTCTTCCTGTGGAATATGGAGCATTCCAAATTTCTTACAACACATAGAAGGAAAAATGGTCTATCAATGAACTTTTGACCATGTGTGTTCAAGACGAGGAGAGATTGAAGCATGGAAAAGTGAAAAGTGCTCATTTAGCAACACATAAATGAGGGCAATGGAAAAAGGGCAAAGGTGATCAGAAATGGAAGAAGCTTGGTAAAGTGCCGTTTAAAAATCATGGCAATAAGGGCGCATGTTTCTTCTGTAAGAAAAAGGGTCACATGAAGAAAGACTGCCCCAAGTATAAGAAATGGCTTGAGAAGAAAGGTAATCTTATATCTGTTGTGTGTTATGAATCTAATTTTGTTAGTACTCATCAATATGATTGGTGGATTTGTTCGGGTTCTACAATTCACATTGCTAATATCATGCTAGGCTTCCTCAGCCTAAGGAAACCGACGGAAAGTGAACAAGGCATCTATTCGGGCAATGGGATGCATTTGCACGTCGAAACTGTTGGAACTTTCCGACTTATTTTAAAAAATGGCTTTGTTTTGGATCTTGAAAACGCATTTTACATTCCATCTTTTTCAAAAAACTTAATTTTTGCTTCTAGACTAGTACCGTTTGGATTTGAATTTCAGTTTGTTGGTGCAAATTTTAGTTTCTTAAAGACTCTGTTTCTGTAGGATTCGGTACTTTAATTATTGGTTTGTACAAATTAAATCTGGATCCTGTTTTTGAACGAAATCTTTTAACCTTGCATGGTGATATTGGCATTAGCGTAATATTGTTGATGAGTCCTTCTTTATTCTTTGGCATAGGAGATTGGGACATATCTCCATTGAGAGAAAAAAGAGGTTGGTTAATGATGAAGTCCTTCCGATTCTTGATTTTACCAACTTTGGTATTTGTGTGGACTGCATAAAGGGAAAGCAGACCAACAAGACCAGTAAAGGTGCCAAAAGGAGTGAGAAAATTCTTGGAATCATACACGCTGATATTTGTGGACCATTTACTCCACCTTGTCTGAATGGTCAGAGATATTTTATCTCATTTATTGATGATTTCGTACGATACATGTATCTCTACCTCTTGTTTGATAAGGCCGAGGCACTTGATGCCTTTAAAGTTTATAAAGTAGAGGTAGAGACACAAACAGAAAAGAAAATTAAAATTGTGAGGTCAGACAGGGGTGGAGAATATTATGGGAGGTACACAGAATTGGGACAATTACCAGGTCCATTTGCTAAGTTCCTTAAGGAAGAAGGCATTATTACACAATATTCAATGCCTGGCACACCACAACAAAATGGTGTCGCTGAAAGAAGGAACCGAACACTTATGGACATGGTAAGGAGCATGCTTAGTTATTCTAATGTGTCTATAAATTTATGGAGTGAAGCTTTGAAAACCACTGTGTATTTCTTAAACAGGGTTCCATCCAAGGTTATTCCCAAAACACCGTTTGAGTTATGGAAATGATGGAAGCCAAGTTTAAGACACTTACACGTTTGGGGTTGTCTAGTTGAAGTGAGGGTGTATAACCCACATTTAAAGAAATTGGACCCCAGAACAGTTAGTGATTTTTTCATAGGCTATGCGGAAAACTCCAAGGGTTACAGATTTTATTATCCTTCAAATTCACTTAGAATTGTTGAAGCCAGAAATGCTAAGTTTATTGAGGAAGTTGACCCTAGTGGGAGTTACCCTCGAAAGATAGAGTGGAAGGAATCACGGGATCCTGATACAACACCCATGAATATAGGTGAATTGGTTGTCTTTCATGATAATCAACCCGATATTCTTGAAAATCAACAAATTCAAGAACTTTCACCACAAGAGGAACAAGTCAACATAGAGCCTGTAACTCAAGTCCCAATTGAGACTACAGAATTAAGGAGATCCTCACGAGCTAGAAAGTCAGTAATTTCTGGTGATTATTTTGTATACTCAATGGAGTTTGATTTTGACATCGGACCTAAAGATGATCCTATTTCATTTTCCAATGCCATGAATAGGGATGATTCTAAATTATGGTATGATGCCATGAAGGAAGAGTTGGAATCTATGGCTAAGAATCAAGTTTGGAAAATTGTCGAGTTGCCTAGAGGAGTTAAAGCGGTTGGCTGTAAATGGGTCTATAAGACCAAGAAAGACTCAAATGGCAATGTCGAACGATATAAAGCCAGACTCGTAGCTAAAGGTTTCATTCAAAGAGAAGGCATCGATTATCATAATACATTTTCTCCGGTTTCTAAGAAGGATTCATTTCGAATTATCATGGCATTAGTAGCTCATTTTGATTTAGAGCTACATCAAATGGATGTGAAAACAACATTTTTAAATGGGGATCTTGAGGAAGAAGTATACATGAACCAACCTGAAGGTTTTTGTTTTGATAAAGAGAGTCACTTAGTTTGCAAGCTCAAGAAATCCATATATGGACTAAAACAAGCTTCTCGACAGTGGTATTTAAAGTTCCACAATGTTATTACTTCATATGGTTTTACGGAGAATGTTGTGGACAACTGTATATACCTTAAGGTTAGTGGGAGCAAATACATTTTTCTAGTTCTATATGTGGATGACATTTTACTTGTATCTAATTATTTGGGATTGTTGCATAATACTAAACAATTTCTTTCTCAAAATTTTGAAATGAAGGATATGGGTGAAGCTTCTTATGTCATTGGCATAAAGATTCACAGAGATAGGTCCAAAAGGACATTAGGACTGTCTCATAAAGCCTATATTGAAAGAGTTTTGGAGAAATTCAAGATGAGTGATTACACTCCTAATGCAGCGCCCATTTTAAAGGATGACAAATTCAGTTTAAGTCAATGTCTGAAGAATGATTTGGAAAAGGAACAAATGGTTAGCA